ATAATGTATGTTGTATACTCCCTGTGTAAGAAGGGGAAATGAGAATATATATACATGTACATGGATACTTATATATGTACATCCATATTTAAATAAAAATTTGAGTGTTTTTGAACCATGTAAGTGTTCAAATGTATTTATCTCACAATAGGATTAATAGGATTATGCTATGAATATTATTTTTCAACACCACGTCTATTTATTTTCCAGTTTTTAAAGCCATTTCCTATTTGCCCCAAGAATACTCATCTCTAATCCTAACGCAACAGGAATGTATATGATGTTACATTAGGATTAGAGACAAGTTCTGTATAGAAATAACTCCAAGAACAGTTTTAGTTTTGTTTTCATTTTAAGAGAGTCTCCCTGGGTCGCCCAGGCTGGAGTGCAGTGGTGCTGTCTCGGCTCACTGCAACCTGCATCTCCCAGGTTCAAGCGCTTCTCCTGCCTCAGCCTCCCAAGTAGCTGGGATTACAGGCGCACACCACCAAGCCCGGCTAATTTTTTGTATTTTAATAGAGATGGGGTTTCACTGTGTTGCCCAGGCTGGTCTCAAACCCCTAAGCTCAGGCAATCCACCCGCCTCAGCCTCCCAAAATGCTAGTATTACAGGTGTGAGCCACTGCGCCCAGCCCAGGAACAGATTTTATATTTTATTTTCACATGGAAAATCAGATTTGCTGCAGCCTCAAAACCATGTTTATGTAAAGACAGCAAGTTGCACTTTTTTCTAAATGAGAAATGGGTTAAAGAATCTATACTTTTTGGAAGATGCATATTGGTCTCTTTATGAATTTCTGATTGTTCATCTGAGTTAATTTGGGGCTGTTTGAAATAGCACTATCGTGAATGAACATCCTTGCACATAAATCTTGGTACACACCTTTCATTTCCTTGGGAAACAGATGGGTCCCATGATAATAACACCTTCCAGGTGGTGTGTGTTCCACCCGTGTGTAGCGGGCTCTGCGATGTTTCCTCATGGCTTGCGTGGAGCAGAGCTGGAGCTCAGGTGCTATTTCAGTCACTTGTGGACCTCTACCCTGGCTGCGCATTCGAATTACGAAAAGAGGATTTTCAAAGGCCTGATGGCTGGTCTGTGATAAAGGCTTCCAGAAGGAGAGCCCCTGGTAGGATGGATAAGGCAGCAGGTCTTAAGTCAGACAGTCCTGGAATCATGTGAACTCTCGGACTCACTCAATGGGTAATTGGGCGTATTTTTTAACCTCGAGACCTGGTTTTCTTATCAGTGAAAGGAGTATAATGGCTGTAAGGTGATGCAGTTGAGAGCATTAGAGAGAGAGGACACAAGCTGCCGAGCCAAATTTCTGGTGCTCAGTAAGTGGTTAGTACTCACTATTCCTCAAACATAACAGAAAAAGCCAACAAATGAAAAAGAACCTAACAAATCATGGTGCAAGCTATGCATCTACTCAAATAACTTTTCATGGCTAATGAAAATCTTGAGTTTCTAGCTGTTGGACTGAATTATATTGGTGTAGTATCTCTGCTTATCTCTTAGTACTCAGAATTCCTCACTGGCAGTTATATAGGACTTTGATTAGTATAATGGGGAAAACATTAATTGTGACCTTCTTGAAAGACCAAAAACCTTCAAAAATGAAATCTATGAGGAAAGAATTCCAAAACAGTAGAAAGAATGCATAATTAGAAATATTTTGAGAACTATTGAACTGAAGTTTTCCTTCTTTATAGTTGAGAAATATATGGAGTATATATATTTTTTTCTTTCTTTTTTTTTTTTTTTTCCTTTTTTGAGACAGAGTCTCGCTCTGTCGCCTAGGCTGGAATGCAGTGGCACGATCTCGGCTCGCTGGAACCTCCGCCTCCTGGGTTCACATGATTTTCCTGCCTCAGCCTCCCAGGTATGTGGGATTACAGGCACAAGCCACCACAAGTGGCTAATTTTTGTATTTTTAGTAAAAACAAGGTGTCGCTATATTGGAGTTGTTTTTCTTTTGTTATTTGACAAGCGTATGGAGTATGCTAGCTCTGCAGTGATTATTGAGATATGTATTTTTATGTAGAACTGTATAAAACTTTGCCTAATGTTTCCATTGCACACCTGTGGGTGCTGCCTGTTCTGGTACTTATTTTGTCCAACCACGTGCTTCGGTCTTTAATCACAGAAGTCCTATTTGATGGATGGGAGCTCAGCATATAAAAGTCTTCCCAGCTTTGACAAATGGACAGGTTGGCTTATAACCCTCTAATTATCTGAACAGCATTGGAGCAAGGAGGGGAAATGTGAACAGCCAAAGAGACAGATTCCTTCCTACTTCGTAGCCTAATAAGGAAGGACATTTTCCTGTTTTAATTGAAACTACAAGTAACCTGTTTTCATCTAAGAGGAAATAACATAGAAGGTAATAGCAGAGCTCCTGGAGCCAGGCTGCTTGAGTTCAAATTCCAGCCCTGTTTCTTAGTAGCTGTTTGGCTATGGGAAAGTTCTTTAGCCCCCTCTGCCTCAGTTTCCCCATCCATAGAACAGAGATAATTGTACATATAGAATTTTTGTGAGAATTAAATGAGTGAACATGTCCTTAAGCCAGAACCGGGTACATGGTGAGCACTATATGAGTGATTGCTATCATTACTCCTTCAAGGTGTTAATCACTGAATTTGCAACTTTAGGTAGAAATCTGAAATTACTTAATCTAAACACATTCTTCTAAAGACAGATGAACTTAGGCAATGTGGGATGGTTAAGAACAAATGGTGGCTGGGCGTGGTGGCTCAAACCTGTAATCCCAGCACTTTGGGAGGCTGAGTTGGGCGGATCACCTGAGGTCAGGACTCAGGTTAGCTGAGTGTGGTGGCAGGCACTTGTAATCCCAACTACTTGGGAAGCTGAGGCAGGAGAATTGCTTGAACCTGGAGGAGGAGATTGCAGTGAGCCAAGATCGCGTCACTGCACTCCATCCTAGGCAACTGAATGAGACTCCATCTCAAAAAAAGGAAAAGAAAAAAACAAATAGTACAGCTGTTTAGAGCCAGACCAAGTAGCCAGGGCTCTAACTAGCTGTGAAGTGTGACTAGTATTTCTCCCACACCACGTGGCCTCCCTATATGTGGTAGCTGCGCTGTGGTGGAAACGTACTGGACCAAGAACAATGCATAACCTTCTTCTACCTCCTATCTCAGAAACACACCTGGGTGTTCCAGAATCTCCTCCAAGGTGATTCTGCAGAGCTCTGGGCCTCTTTAGTCTCTGGAAGGGGCTGGGGTGTCAGAATGCTATACATACCCAGAGAGCACCATGAACTGTCCTGCTGTGCCTGAAACTTACAGTCCATTAGCACCCCCAAAAAGAGCAGCTGCAGATCTAGGACACACACTCGCAGAGGTAGAATTTCCATACTCTTTACAGCCAGGGAAGCAAGTATGGTAATTCCAGAGTAGGTCAATTTTACCCAAAGAGAAAAATCAAATGGGAAATTAGTGACAGACCAGTGGCCTGGAGTATAGATAAGGAGAAAACACAGGTGCGCCATTATTTCCTTAAGAAAATTCTCATGGACTCCAGGGAGGATAACTTTAGTAAAGAAACAATGCACGTTTTGTTTTTGCTTTCCCCAGTTGAAAGTTGGTGAAAGGAAAGACATGATGTTGGATAAATATGTGTGTGTGTGTCTCTAAATAGATGGACTCTGGGTTCACAGAGACCTAGGTTTAAATTATGACTATTACTTTAAAAATAGTGACCTTGAGTAGGTAATTTAATCTTTCTAATCTATAAACTGTGAGCCTTAATTGTACTGACCTCAACTGGCTCATCAAGGATTTCTGGATGCCTAGTGCATAGCAGGCACTCACTGAGTCCCTATTCCCACCACCTAACCTCTCTGTGGAGAGGTAAGACTAGAGATAACTGTTAGTGCTTTTGCATATGTATGGAATCTACTGTGTGAAAGGAAAATAAATACTCGGGACCCCAATTTACCATGCTATGTTTTAGAAAAAAATAAGCCAAAAGCCGGGTCGTGCGAGAAGCTGCCTTTCCTTTTGTGCCTAAACAGACAGCTATAGATGAAAGGTCAAACAGCTCCAGAGGTAGCTACTCTATGTTCACTGTATCTTATGTAAAGTGCTGATTTACTGAGCACATCATGAACACATCATTGGCAGTTCCCCTGCCTGCTGCCTTGCTCTTGCAACATGTGGATTGTTATACCCTCCCTCTTTTCCCTCCAGCCCACTTTTCGTTTTTAAATATTGAGGCCCTCAAATGCATCTTTGGAGAAAGGCACAGACCATAGACTGTTTCGGTGATTCCGTGTTATTTTCTTCTGGGCGTGCCCTTCATCTAGGCAAAACAAACTTCTGAGTTGATTGAGGCCCGTGGCAGATACTTTTTGGTTTATTACTGTCTCTAGAGTAGAGTTACCAACAGTGCACGCTGATACTGTGGAGGACTTGCTTGTGCCAGGTGCTATTAACTCATCTAATCCACATAACTTCAGGAAATGGAGCATTATAACTTCATTTTACATGAGGAGATTATGGCACATAGAGTTCCTGGAACTCATCTGAGGTCACACAGATACTAAACACCATACCCAGGATTCCTGGGACCAGAGAGCATGTGCTGAGCCTCTCCATCACGCTGCCTCTCTGGTGTTAGGGCAGCTCTCCTGGGGGTATCGTGAGGATCAGGAAACACGGTGTCTGTGAAACACTCTAGAGCTGAACTTGCATGGTAAACATCACAGGAGATGGTGTCCTGTTGCCACTGGAACGTCCTAAACCAACTTAATCTGGTGACTCTGGTGACACTTAAAACGGAAGCCACATGGGCCCCTTCATTTGGTTGATTCCTCTTAGAAGGTGTCATAGACACTAGCTCAGGGAAAGAAAGAGAAATGGGATGTTGGACCATTCTTACAACCAACACAGAATTCCATAGCCCAATTGCCATGAGGTTTCTTACCTTGGGTTTTCAATTCAATATCATCCAATTAAAATACACATGGACAAAAGTCAACTTTTCATTGTTTTAAATTTATTTTGCCTATTAGGAAAAATACACCACATAATTCAACTAGCAAAGAAGGCTGCTTCAGGGTGTGTAAAATGAAAGGCTTCCAGGCAGTTACCTGATTAAAGAACACTAAGGGAGGGACAAGGCTAGAAGCCACAGGCTGTCTACACTATGGCAGTGGCTATTTGGGTTGGCTGGAGGAGCTGTGGAGAATATGGAGAGAGTGGTGCTGGAGACCGCCATGGCTATTCTTCATTGTCATCACAGAGTGAGGTTGTCCGTGCGCCCAGTGGTTTGAAAACATTTTACAACAATGATAGAATAGTACACACATGAAAACGGAAATAGCCCAAACCCAGAAAGAAAGCCCAATTAGATCCTCAGAAGACACTTCTAGGGACAATAACTGATGAGGAAAAGATGGCGTCCTTGTGCCACCGTCTGTTATGGTCTCTCTCCATTGCAGCAAACAGCCGTTCTTCTAAGCAGACAGACAGCAATGATGGCAAAATAGACCTCACTCTTGACGAGCAGGAGGAGGTACATGTAATATGCAGAGGTGTTTGTGAGCTGCAGCAGTAGTGCATCTAAGAGAAATTTCACATGTTCTTTTTACAGAATAAGACATATTAATGGGAGACGGGTTCACAAATACTTATTTCTGACGATTTACATTGAAGTGATATTCTACCACCACCAAAACCTAAAAGTAAACATCTACTGCTACCACCACCACCAAGAGTCAGACAAGTCAGAATTCAGCTTTCAAGTTGATTAACAACCTCTGCTAAATTCACGTAGAACATTCCAAGCTATTAAAAAGTAAGGTTGCTTTGTAGGAAAGCAAAGAAACTGGTTAATCCAGATTCGCTGATGTGTTAGGTAGCTGTGGCGCACTCACCTGTCTTTCCTAAATGTCTCTGATTATGGCTATGCTATTATTGGGTGATTGCATTTCATATCATTTGAAGCTTTGCAAGAGATATGTGATGTCAAGGAATAAGTAAAGACAGTGATGGTGGACAGCAGTGGCTACTCAATGAGCTACAAGACTGAGTCTCTTCCTGCAGAAATTTCCATTTACATGTTTTGTCTTCATCAGGTGAGAACTCCAGAAACATCAGTCCTTGGTGTGGAAAAGGATCTCAAGAAGTGATGTGTTTGTAACTCCCTGCCCTTGGTCGAGTGAGGTGTTACTGCCCCTCCTTGCTGGTGTGGCAGCTTAAGTCAGAGCCCCTTAGTATTGGAAATAAAGGAAAGTTGAGCAGGGCTAGAGCCAATGCTTCTGGTCACATTCTTTGTGTATATGTAGAGAGAAAAGGCCAGAAACAAGTACTCATTCTGTGTCTGCTAAATGAGATACCCTATGCTAGACATCTCACATTCATGCCCTTATCTCTTCAATAACTGTGAATCTGGTGTAATTATTCGTGGTTGGGTGATGAGAAAAATGTTACTCAGAAAATGTAGGTCAGTTACATCTAATCATTAAAAGAGCTGGAGTGAAAGTCCACTCTACACAGCCCATGCACCCACCCATCGCCACATTATGTTCTTTTTGTTTCAGGTCCCTGGCTTTGTAATTTCTTGCTATCTGACTCTACTGTAGAAAAAGAATAGAAAACTTAGTAACTGCATGAACTCTTTATTTGATGTCCTGATTTGAAATCCCAGGCCTAACTGTGTGACATGTATAAGGGATTTTTATAATTATTTACTTTAAAGGGACTATAAAATGGGAGAAAAAATATTGTACCACTTTATAGGAGTATTAAGAGGATTAAAGTAGAAAATGCAGAACAAGCCCTTCTGTGTAAAAAGCACTTGATAAACACTAGTTTGTGTTATTAGCTACTAGCAAAGACCAAAGACTAAAACAAAACTACTTGAGAAGCAACATGATATCATGTTTCCCCTAGTCATTAAAACAAAAGACACGAAGCCAGGCACAGTGGCTCACACCTGTAATCCCAGCACCTTGGGAGGGTTGAGGGGGCATATCACGAGGTCAGGAATTCGAGACCATCCTGGCCAACATGGTGAAACCCCATCTCCATTAAAAATAAAAAATTAGCCAGGCATGGTGGTGTGCACCTGTGGTCCCATCTACTCGAGAAGCATGGCTGGAGAATTGCCTGAACCCAGAAGGCAGAGGTTATATTGAGCCAAGATTGTGCCAGTGCACTCCAGTCTGGGCAACAGAGCAAGACTCCGTCTCAATACAAACAAACAAACAAACAAAAAAGACACATGGATGAATAAAGTCTGTTTTTTGAAATAACTTTTGAAATAACTGAAAGCATATCACTCTAATTTATAGCCATCTCATACCTGAAGCAGTAGTTAGGTTTATTAATACAACTCCTGGAAAATGAGGGACTAATTTAAAATATCACTAGGCCCATTCTGCAGCATCCAACCTAGCAAAATCTATTCTCTGATTTTTGAAACAAGAGAAGTTCAAAGGTTAAAATGATCACAAGGAAGTAAAAAACACAAAAACTTACCATTTGCATCTCCTGAATAATTGTCTTTGGGATCCACTGTGGTGACATCTAGAAGAATGAGAGCAAGTACTAGTCAATTTTTCATGCCCATTATTTGTCAAGGGGTGTGTGTGTGTGTGTGTGTGTGTGTGTGTGTGTCTGTGTCCATGTGTAGTTAAATGAATATTCATAAAATCTGTCAACAGAGAGGCAGGAAGACAGTTATTAAAAATATGAGCCCCACAATCCCAGAAATAATTGGTCTGATTCTATGTAATTAGGTAGAGCTAATTCAAATATTACATTTTTGCACATCAAGATGTTGAAGTTCATGAAGAATAGTTTTTTTTTTCCTTTTTTATCACAACTGGAGTGTAGTTTCCAAGAACATTTGGTCTTCCTTCTGTATTCAAAGCTCCTAGCACGGTGCCTTTTTATTTATCAAAAACAGACCACAAAGTATGTTTTTGATAAATACTTGTTCAATGGAAAAATAAACAGAACAAGTGGCTACTTTACACCCTTCAGCACACACTGCTGACCTGAAATCAGCAAAAAAAAAAAAAAAGTTTTGGGTTTTTTGTTTGTTTGTTTGTTTTGAGGCAGGGTGTCACTGTTGCCCAGGCTGGAGTGGAGTATAGTGTGGTGTCATCATGGCTCACTGAAGCCTCAAACTCCCCATGTTCAGGAGATCCTCCCATCCTAGCCTCCCAGGGTATCTGGGAGTCCAGGCACACACCAACACACCCAGCTAATTTATGTACTTTTTGTAGAAACAGGGTTTTGCCATGTTGCCCAGGCTGGTTTCGAACTCCTGGGCTCAAGCAATCTTCCTGCCTTGTCCTCCCCAAATGCTGAGATTACAGGCATAAGACACCACACCGGGCCAAGAATTCTTTCAGTCCTAGAATCCACAACGGAATGTTATGTGTTTGAAGGAGTCTGGCTTAGAAAAATTTCTCATCTAAGCAGGAAAAAGCAGTCATTCCTTTCCAAACCATGCATGTCCCCAATGTCTCGAGCAAGTACCCACGATTTTCTGGAGGTACAGTGTTTCTAGACATAACAACAACAATGTTAATAAAGCTAATATCTACTGAGTGCTCGTTATTGTCTCAGGCACTATGTTAAATGCTTCCCATGCATTTTGTTTGTTTGTTTAATTTCCCAATAACACTGAAGTGAGTTGTATTATGTATGGCCCCATGTTCTGAATGAGGAAATAAAGTTTTAAAAGTGCAGGCAACTTGCCAAGAGTTGTATCAGTGAACAGCAGAGCCAGTATTCAGATAGTAGTCATAGGGGAAGAAAAGAAATTGGACATTTGAAAAGTAGTTAGTAGAAATAATCCACAGAAATAGATAGAAAGTGATTTATAAAGAGATGATATAATGTCACCATTGTGTACTCTCAGAAAATCTCTTTGAGTATGTTAATTACTCTCAGCAAACGGTCTTTTTTATTATAGGAGCTCAGCATTTCAGTGCAATTCTTTCTGGGACTAGAAAGAGACAGGCCAAGCCACACTGATAGTTCTCTGAATAAAATCTGAGGTGAGACTTGAATTTATCTGTGATTTTTTTTTTTAAAAAAAGGAAGATGCAAGCATGCATACAAAGACAACATATTTTAAAACAGAAGAAAACAGAGTCGCATTGGTGTTTGGGTTTATTATTTTTCTAGTAGATGTGTTCTGGTCTATATGGATATGACTGGTGTGCAATTTTATGCACTCACTGAGATCTTTATTTCATGTATTCTAAAAAAATGGACTTGAGGTATGGGTTTTGGGTAAGTCTCACGAATGCAAATGTTAGTTATCATGTCTGCATGTCCAAATATCTTTAAGAGCTGATTTTAATGGGTTTTCAATGTCTTTTTATTTTCCTTAGGGTGACTTTATTTATTAAAAGATAAATAAAAATGACTATCACTTATTTCCATGCATTGATTGAGGTAAAAAGAATAAAGCAACTATTCCCAATAATAAAACCTCTAAGTGTATCCTGAGTTCTCTCTCTCTTAATCAAGGTTGGTTGCAAATGTGAACTAGATTAGTTTTATCTCCTTCAAAAGCAGTTCATTGATTATATAATATGATCACTTCCATGTTATATTTTTAGCTTCTCTCAGAAAAACAAACTTCCAAGAAAGAGCATTAGAAATCTACTGTAGAATTTCATTAAGACAAGTGTCCTCCTTAATGTAGTTGCCTTGAGAAGTGCATGAAAGACAGTTTACTTTTAGACTGGGCGCAGTGACTCACGTCTGTAATCCCAGCACTTCAGGAGGCTGAGGGGGCAGATCACAAGGTCAGGAATTCTAGACCAGCCTGGCCAACGTGGTAAAACCCAGTCTCTACTAAAACTACAAAGGTTACTCAGACATGGTAGCATGCGCCTTTAGTCCCAGGTGCTTGAGAAGCTGAGGCAGGAGAATCGTTTGAACTCCAGAGGCAGAAGTTGTAGTGAGGCGAGATTGCGTCACTACATTACGATCTGTTCAACAGAGTAAGACTCCATCTCGAAAAAAAAGAAAGAAAGAAAGAAAAAATACACATGGATGAATGGATGAATAAAGACTGTTTTTTGAAATAACTAAAAGCATATCACCGTACCCTTCAATTTACAGTCATCTCATACCCAAAGCAGTAGTTAGGCTTGTTAATACAACTCCTAGAAAAGGAGGGACTAATTTAAAATATCACTAGGTTCATTCTGCAGCATCCAACCTAGCAAAATCCATTCCCTGATTTTTCAAGCCAGAGAAGTTCGGATCGGGAGGAAATAAAACACAGAAAAACTTACCATTTGCAACTTCTGAATAATTGCCTTTGGGATCCACTGTGGTGACATCTAGAAGAATGAGAGCAAGTACTAGTCAATTGTTCATGCTCATTATTTGTCAAGGGGGGTGTGTGTGTGTGTGTGTGTGTCTGAGTGTGTGTCTGTGTCTGTGTATAATTAAATGAATATTTATAGAACCTGTCAAGTTTTTATAGGGAAGAGGCAAGAGGCCAGTTATTAAAAATATGAGCCCACAATCCCAGAAATAATTGGTCTGATTCTATGTAATTAGGTAGATCTAATTCATATATTATGTTTTTGCACATCAAGATGCTGAAGTTCGTGAAGAACACTTTTTTCGTTTTTTATTCCAACTGGAGTGTAGTATCCAAGAACATTTGGTTTTCCTTCTGTATGCATAGCTCCTAGCACAGTGCCTGCCACAAAGTATGTTTTTGATCAATACTTGTTCAGTGGAAAAATAAACAGAACAAGTGGCTCCTTTACAGTCTTCAGCACACACTGCTGACCTGAAATCAGCAAAAAAAAACAACAACAAAAAACAAAAAACAAACAAACAAAAACAAACAAAAAAACTAAATAAATTTGTGATTTTTTTTTTTTTTTTTTTTGAGGCAGCATCTCACTGTCGCCCTGACTGGAGTGGAGTATAGTGTGGTGTCATCACGGCTCACTGAAGCCTCAAACTGCCCAGGGTCAGGTGATCCTCCCATCTCAGCCTCCCGAGTACCTGGGAGTCCAGGCACACACCGCCACGCCCAGCTAATCTATGTACTTTTTGTAGAGACGGGGTTTTGCCATGTTGCCCAGGCTGGTTTCGAACTCCTGGGCTCAAGCAATCTTCCTGCCTTGTCCTCCCAAAATGCTGAGATTACAGGGATAAGACACCACACCGGGCCAAGAATTCTTTCAGTCCTAGAATCCACAACGGAATCTTACAATGTTTGAAGGAGTCTAGTTTAGAAAAATTTCTCACCTAGCAGAAAAATGCAGTCATTCCTTTTGAAGTTATGCATATTCCCAATGTCCCCAGCAAGTACCCATGATTTTTCTGGAGGTACAGTGTTTCCGGACATAACAACAACAACATTAACAAAAGCTAATATCTACTGAGGGTTCATTATTGTGTCAGGCACTATGTTAAATGCTTCCCATGCATTTTTTGTTTAATTCCCCAATAACACTGAAGTGAGTTGTATTATGTATGGTCCCATGTTCTGAATGAGGAAATAAAGTTTAAAAAGTGCAGGCAACTTGCCGAGAGTCGTATCAGTGAACAGCAGAGCCAGTATTCAGACAGTAGTCGTAGGGGAAGAAAAGAAATTGGACATTTGAAAAGTGCTCTGTAGGAATAATTCACAGAAATAGATAGGAAGTCATTTATAAAGAGACAATATAATGTCACTATTGTGTACTCTCAGAAAATCTCTTTGAGTATGTTAATTATTCCCAGCAAATGGTCGTTTTCATTATAGGAGCTCAGCATTTCAGTGCAATTCTTTCTGGGACTAGAAAGAGATGGGCCAAGTCACATTGACAGTTCTCTGAATAAAACCTGAGGTGAGAGTTGAATTTATCTGTGATTTTTATAAAAAAAAAAAAAAAAAAAAAAAAAAGGAAGACGCAATCACGCAAACAAAGACAACATATTTTAAAACAGAAGAAAACAGAGTCACATTGGTGTTTGGGTTTATTATTTTTCTAGTAGATGTGTTCTTTTCTGTACGGATACGACTCTGGTGTGCAATTTTATACACTCACTGAGATCTTTATTTCATGTATTCTAAAAGAATGGACTTGAGGTATGGGTTTTGGGTAAGTCTCACGAATGCAAATGTTAGTTATCATGTCTGCATGTCCAAATATCTTTAAGAGTTGAATTTAATGGGTTTTCAATGTCTTTTTATTTTCCTTAGGGTAACTTTATTTATTAAAATATAAATGAAAATGACTATCACTTATTTCCATGCCTTGATTGATTGAGGTAAAAAGAATAAAGTAACTATTCCCGGTAATAAAATCCCTAAGTGTATCCTGAGTTCTCTCTCTCTTAATCAAGGTTGGTTGCAAATGTGGACCAGATTAGTTTTATCTCCTTCAAAAGCAATTCATTGATTACATAATATGATCACTTTCATGTTACATTTTTAGCTTTTCTCAGAAAAACAAACTTCCAAGAAAGAGCATTAGAAATCTATTGTAGAATGACATTAAGAGACGTGTCCTCCTTAACATAGTTGCCTTGAGAAGTGCATGAAAGACATTTTACTTTTAGACTGGGCGCAGTCACTCACATCTGTAATCCCAGCACTTCGGGAGGCTGAGGCGGGTGGATCACTTGAGGTCAGGAGTGCAAGACCAGCCTGACCAACTTAGTGAAACCCAGTGTCTACTAAAAATACAAAGATGACCCAGACACGGTGGCGTGTGCCTGTAGTCCCAGTTACTTGAGAAACTGAGGCTGGAGAATGGCTTTAACTAGGGAATCGGAGGTTGTGGTGAGTGGAGATCACGCCACTGTACTCCTGCCTGGGCAACAGAGCGAGACTTCATCTCAAAAAAAAAAAAAAAAAAAGCTGGGAGAAATGGCTTTCAATCGGGAATCTGAGGTTGTGGTGAGTGGAGGATCACGCCACTGCACTCCTGCCTGGGCAACAGAGCGAGTAGACTCCCATCTTCAAAAAAAAAAAAAAAAAAAAAAAAAAAAAAAAAAAAAAAAAAAAGGCACATGGATGAATAAAGTCTGTTTGTTGAAATAATTGAAAGCAAAAAACACCATACCCTTCAATTTACAGTCATCTCAAACTCAAAGCAGTAGTTAGGTTTGTTAGTACAACTCCTGGAAAATGAGGGACTAATTTAAAGTATCACTAGGTTCATTCTGCAGCATCCAACCTAGCAAAATCTATTCCCTGATTTTTCAAACCAGAGAAGTTCAAAAGTTAAAATGATCAGGAGGAAATAAAAAAACACAAAAACTTACCATTTGCATCTTTTGAATAACTGTCTTTGGGATCCACTGTGGTGACATCTAGAAGAATGAGAGCAAGTACTAGTCAATTTTTCATGCCCATTATTTGTCAAGCTGTGTGTGTGTGTGTGTGTGTGTGTGTGTGTAATTAAGTGAATATTTATAAAACCTGTTACAGAGAGGCAGGAGGACAGTTATTAAAAATATGAGCCCACAATCCCAGAAATAATTGGTCTGATTCTATGTAATTAGGTAGAGCTAATTCATATATTATGCTTCTGCATAATATATGAATTATGCTTCAACTTCAAGATGTTGAAGTTCGTGAAGAATACTTTTTTCCTTTTTTATCACAACTGGAGTGTAGTATCCAAGAACATTCGGTTTTCCTTCTGTATGCATAGCTCCTAGCACAGTGCCTGCCACAAAGTACGTTTCTGATAAATACTTGTTCAATGGAAAATAAAGAGAACAAGTGGCTACTTTACAGCCTTCAGCACACACTACTGACAGGAAATCAGCAAAAAGAATAATTTTGGATTTTTTTTTTTTTTTTTAAGGCATGGTCTCACTCTCACCCAGGCTGGAGCGGGGTGTAATATGGTGTCATCACAGCTCACTGAAGCCTCAACCTCCGCAGGGTCAGGCGATCCTCCCATATTAGCCTCCTGAGTAGCTGTGAGTACAGGCACTCAGTACCATGAGCAGCCAATGTTTGTATTTTTTGTAGAGACAGGGTTTTGCCATGTTGCCCAGGTTGATTTTGAACTCCTGGACTCCAGCAATCTTCCTGTCTTGTCCTCCCAAAATGCTGGGATTACAGGCATAAGACACCACACCGAGAATTCTTTCAGACCTAGAATCCACAACAGAATCTTACATGTTTGAAGGTGTCTAGTTTAGAAAAATTTCTCATCTAAGCAGAAAAAAAGTAGTCATTTCTTTTGAAATCATGCATATTCCCAACATCCCCAGCAAGTACCCATGATTTTCTGGAGGTACAGTGCTTCTGGACATAACAACAACATTAACAAAAGCTAATATCTACTGAGTGTTCATTATTGTGTCAGGCACTATGTTAAATGCTTCCCATGTATTTTTTGTTTAATTCCCCAATAACACTGAAGTGAGTTGTATTATGTATGACCCCATGTTCTGAATGAGGAAATAAAGTTTAAAAAGTGCAGGCAACTTGCCGAGAGTCGTATCAGTGAACAGCAGAGCCAGTATTCAGACAGTAGTCGCAGGGGAAGAAAAGAAATTGGACATTTGAAAAGTACTTAGTAGAAATAATCCACAGAAATAGATAGAAAGTAATTTATAAAGAGACAATATAATGTCACCATTGTGTACTCTAAGAAAATCTCTTTCAGTATGTTAATTATTCTCAGCAAATGGTCTTTTTTATTATAGGAGCTCAGCATTTCAGTGCAATTCTTTCTGGGACGAGAAAGAGACAGGACAAGTCACACTGATAGTTCTCTGAGTAAAACCTGAGGTGAGAGTTGAATTTATCTGTGATGTTAAAAAAAAAAAAAAAAAAAAAAAGGAAGAAGCAAGCATGCAAATAAAGACAACATATTTTAAAACAGAAGAAAACAAGTCGCATTGGTGTTTGTGTTTATTATTTTTCTAGTAGATGTGTTCTTGTCTATATGGATATGACTCTGGTGTGCAGTTTGATGCACTCACTGAGATCTTTATTTCATGTATTCTAAAAAAATGGACTTGAGGTATGGGGTTTTGGGTAAGTCTCATGAATGAAAATGTTAGTTATCATGTCTGCATGTCCAAATATCTTTAAGGGCTGACTTCAAGGGGTTTTCAATGTCTTTTTATTTTCCTTAGGGTGACTTTATTTGTTAAAATATAAATGAAAGTGACTATCATTTATTTCCATGCCTTGATTAATTGAGGTAAAAAGAATAAAGTAACTATTCCCGGTAATAAAATCCCTAAGTGTATCCTGAGTTCTCTCTCTCTCAATCAAGGTTGGTTGCAAATGTGGACCAGATTAGTTTTATCTCCTTCAAAAGCACTTCATTGATTATATAATATGATCACTTCCATGTTATATTTTTAGCTTTTCTCAGAAAAACAAACTTCCAAGAAAGAGCATTAGAAATCTATTGTAGAATGACATTAAGAGACGTGTCCTCCTTAACGTAGTTGCCTTGAGAAGCGCATGAAAGACATTTTACTTTTAGACTGGGCGCAGTCACTCAACGTCTATAATCCCAGCACTTTGAGAGGCTAAGGCAGGCGGATCACTTGAGGTCAGGAGTTCGAGACCAGCCTGGCCAACACGGTGAAACCCCATCTATACTAAAAGTAGAAAAATTAGCCAGATGTGGTGCCAGGCACCTGTAATTTCAATTCTCGGGAGGCTGAGGCAGAAGAATCGCTTGAACCTGGGAGGTGGAGGTTGCCGTGAGCTGAGATCATACCATAGCACTCCTGCCTGAGCTACAAGAGCGAAACTGTCTCAGAGAAAAAAAAAAAATTTACTTTTAGAATTTAGTGTAAAGTAAAACACATTGTGAAACTGTAACTTCTCCCCCGTGTAGTATTCACTGCCCTGGAACCTACTATACTTTTTATTTAGCCCTGATCACTGGAAAAATCAGAACACTTAAGCACAGTGGTAAGACTACCCTCAAGCTTTGCACTTTTGTCTTTTCTTGGTGTCTCAGCAAAGGAAATAGAAAATTGGGACTCTAGGGGCCGGGCACCCTGGCTCACGCCTGCAATCCCAGCACTTTGGGAGGCTAAGGCGGGCAGATCACCTGAAGTCGGGAGTTCGAGACCAGACTGACCAACATAGAGAAACCCTGTCCCCACTAAAAATACAAAATTAGCCAGGCATGGTGCTGCATGCCTGTAATCTCAGCTCCTTGGGAGGCTGAGGCAGGAGAATCACTTGAACCCGAAAGGTGGAGGTTGCAGTGAGCCGAGATTGTGCCATTCCACTCCAGCCCGGGCAACAAGAGCGAAACTCCGTCTCAAAAAAAAAAAAAAAAAAAAAAAAGAAAAGAAAAGAAAATTGGGACTGTCTTTATAACCCCAATTCAGTTAGTTTTAGGAAAGGCAATACCTAAATACAGTAAATACACGAATGAACACATCCATGCTACCGTGTTGAAAGCAAGCATTTTCCCTGCCATTGTTTCTTTTGCACTCCATCATAGCCCCAGGAGAAAGTCAAGGCAACTGTCCAAATCACATTTGATCATTGCAGACACTCAGGATCTGAAAAGCTAAAGACTTACCCTAGAAATTTGGAATGGTACATGGCAAAGGTCTTCGAACATTTTGTTAATGCTTGCTCCCCCACTGGCTAAAAAGGACTTGTTAACCACAGGAAAAAGCACAAAATGAGTCCTTTTCATGACCACTCTGGAGCTGTTGGACTGTTATGTTCATATTCAGGATGCTGACATATAGTGAGGGACTGGACCACTGGCCCAGGGCACGTTCAGCCCTCTGCCCAATGGTCTAGACATGTACAGAGTCTGCATCAAAGGCACTGTTTGGGGACCTCATGCATGAATCATGAGTGACCCTGAGTGATCAGGAAGCGAATATATTCTCTGCACTGTCATGCATCCTCCTTAGGACAGTAACTCATCCTTGTCTCCTCTTCCACATTTCCACTAAGCCTGGCGTGTCATAATTGTACAATAAATGTTTACTGAGATGCATTCACCAATGGTAGGAAATGCATTTATTATGGAAAATGGAAAAATGTTTGTACATGTAAACCTTACCAACCTTTAATTATGAAATGTTACTTTATGGTGACATGTAAACTGAAAATCTGAAAAGCACAAGGCCTCCATAAAACTGCAGTGGCCAAGACGATTTTATGTTTTGTAGAGCCTCGCTCTGGCTTCTTCAGATAAACATCATTTTGTCAACAATGAACCCATGGTTTGTAGGTTAAACTTTGTGGGTAGCAAGATTGAGGTGACTTACTCTCCTGCTTGGGCAGAACATTCCTGAAAGACGTATACTTGTTTTTATTTCCCGATCAAGTAAAGTCATCAAAAGAAAGGAGAACTCTTTTTGAGCGTTTACCACTTGCTTCATTGCTAGATGCTTCCATGTACATTGTTTCCTTTAATCCATCTAACAACCCTAAAAACCAGCATGTGACTTTCTTATTTTGGATAATGGAGCTGAGGCTGAGAAACCTTCAGTAACTTTTTCAATTTCGTTTTCTCCAAAACCCACACCATTTTAATTCTATAGAAAAGTAGCAGGGCATTTATGCTACCATCAAATGTAACAATATCTAAGAAAGATTTATGTTTGTTTTTCATTAATTACTGAAATAAAAAATGCAGGATTCCCTTTCAAAGACGTGTTCTGAGAGATGATATGTGTAAACACATACCTGTCTTTATTGGAGGAAAGATAATTTCTTGATCAACTCCATTTCTATTATTCTCGTGTCGATAATTTCTCTTGATCAACTCCATTTCTCATTATTCTCGTGTCTGATTTATACATCCAGTTTCTTTATCCAGTGACTTTCTGGCACTCGTTAACCAGCTAAATTCTCATGCATGTGTCGCTAGTCTTCATGGTGTTCTTGGGATTTCCTGTGAACCTTGTTGCTGTTCTTTCTACAACGTATCTCAATAACATCTGGGAAAAATTTCTCAAGAAGACAAAGGTATGTTCCAGCCTTGTGGAAGTTTGTTTCATGTAATAGAAGGAAGAAAATAGTGGGCTTTTTTAAAATAAACATCTGGCATCAAGGTGTTTATCTATGGGGGAGAAATGGAATATGAATTTAAAAGAATCAAGAGAGGAAATGACACATTACTTCTGCACGGTTTGAATGGCCTAGTACATAAATTAAAAAGAGATTTAAAGCATTGAGCTTAGTGTCCAATGGGGCCTTCTTATCCAGATAGGCTGCACAGTACTTATTACTGTGCTTATTTTACAGATGTTGAAAAGAGGATCAAGAAATTAAATAACTTGCCAAAAGTCACAGCTCTCAAGTGTCAGATGCTGGACAAAACCTGGCCTTTGTTTATTCCGCACATGCCAGGAGGAGTAGACTTTTAACCGTCCCGCCAAGGCTTCCAATGTTCATGAACATATTTATTTTATTTATTCTTTGAATATCATATGAAGTATGTTTTCAAGGTGGGATGGCAGGGGAAAGGGGAAAAGATCAGATAACTCTCAACGATCTTCTGCCAGATGAGACCTGGTCCCTTTCTCACTTCCCTTTTTCCATCCTTTGTAACTTTAGTGTTCTTTGGCCAAATAACACACATTCTCATGTTCCACAATTTTGTGTCCTCCCACTCTTCATTTTAATTAGATTTCTGCGATGCACCACATTTATCTGATATTTATCTTATTTCCCATGAATAAATGTCAGAATTTTAAATATTATTATTTATCTTATTTCCTATATGCACAAATGTCAGAATTTTTGTTTTGTGTGTGTGTGTGTTTTTTTTTTTTTTTGAGACTGCAGCCATGCTCCTTGTCACCCGGGTTGGAATGCAGCAGCACAACTGTCTCTTACTGCAGCCTCAACTTCCCAGCCAAGTGGTCCTCCCACCTCAGCCTCCCAAGTAGCTGGACTACAGAAAATTCACCATGCCTGGCTAATGTTTGCTTTTGTAGAGACACATTTCACCATATTGACCAGGCTGGTTTCAAACTCCTGCACTCAAGTCATCTGCCTGCCCCCAGCCTCCCAAAACGCGGATTAGAGGTATGAGCCACCATGCCTGGGGCGGCCTTGTTCACTTTCTATTTTTAATACACAGTCACTTGTTTTAGTGAGAATCTTCTTCCACGTGTATTTACTGTCTATCAAGTTAACCATGTAGCTTCAATGTGTACACCATGAGCAGTCCTTGTAGTTAATATCTAACTTTAGTATAACATCTCGACTCCACATCTGCACCCTCCAAGTTTTGGGATGCAGCAAATATTTAGAGCTGTACTTCAGATTATTCACCATCTTCTTGAATTCAGAAACAAATGGCAACATTTCCAAAAACTCTCATTTAAGTGTTTTATTGATTATTTTCAGAAATACTCTTGTGTTCATCTTATCCAGTAATACACTTATCAAAATTCTGCTCTTTGCTTTAGAAAACATACACCCAAAAGCACGTTTTATTTGGAATTCCATTTGAATTTTAAGAATGACTAAGAATGCACTAGAGGTGATTTTTTTATACTGATTTTTATATAAATTCCCATTAATGAGGAAGATTCGTATGTAAATCAGTATATCTCTATTTTGACTCTTATGTCTCTCTTAGAATTTGTATCTGTTCTCTATATTACTTAACTGTTTTAAAGCTCCATTATTCTCTTTGTCTTAGCCTGCTGAATAAAATCTATATGTAATTGCTCTATTAAAATCATGGTTCCAGTGCTTCTATATGCATAGGTCAAGATATATAACAAAAGCATTATATGTTTACAAAGGCATATCACTTGAATCTGGAATGTTAATGGGTTCTGTTACTTATTTTTAATCTAACAACTGAAATTTGAAATGTTACAATTCTTCTAATTTTGATTTCGAATTGAAACTCCAATGCTTGGCTGATGTGAAGTGAGCTTTGATAATTGAACAATTTCAAGAAAAATAAGAATTAAATTTCTCATCGGAGAAGAAAAGAAAACAACTTGATAATTTCTGTTTCTGTAGCAAAGTTTCTTGATTTTCATACAAAATTAATAAACATATACAGTAATATTAATTTTTGAGCATGCTATAAATTTAATTAGGCATAATGGGCTTATTTTTAATTTATACTTTTGCTTTTTTAGTGCAAATAGTATTTTATTGTTATACTTGTGAGACAGTGTATATTTCTTTTCCTACTATATAGTTTGTTTTAATTTTAAAAGCATGTTATAAAATGGTAAGATTTAATTTTTCAATTGTACATTATATTTCTATAATTTTAGTCTCTAGTTAATATATTTGAATCTAATTTTCATCCTAGGAACTAGTGTCTTCATGGAAATACTTCATTCATTGTACTAAAATAGGAAATTAAAAATCAAATGATAAACTTGGACATTTTCTGTATGGTACCATGGCATCTACTGGTTTCTTGTCCCCTTTCTTTAGCTAAATTCTTTAACTTTCATTCTTTTCAGGACAAAATGAATCTGAACTTCAGCAACTTCCCCAACGTATTATAGTTAACAAATCATTAAACAGCATAATTTCATTATACATGGTAAGAGCTTATCTTGGATCATCCTCTCACATGATTTTTAAAAATACTACTTTTAAAATGTACATATTAAGAGTGTTTTTTATGGTCAAGTATGGTGTTTACTTCCAATAATAAATAGAATTTATATATTTTATTTATTTAAAGTGATAAACCTGCTGGATCTATCTATGTACATTTATTTGCATAATTAAATAGTATATGTGAGTTAAATTGCCTAAGTTGTTTGTAGTTTATTAAATGCAGTATTGCAAATTTACTACAAGTATCAACTACATTTTCTATAGACGGCATGATATATTAAATCTACATATGGGTATTTATTTATGCTCTAGATTTCTTTATTTTTTCATTAGATAAATAGTTATAATATTCTTTATATTTAAATATGTATTTGGGGATTTATGATGTTTCCGTCTGATTTAACTGATTTGATATCTTGACCATTTTGGTAAGATTTTAACCTTTTTTTTCCTGAGACAGGAACAGAACCCTAAACCAATTGGCTACAAATCTTAGGACCAATATGTTGTGTTAGAAATGGTATCAATTAAGATAAAGGATTACAAAGCACAGAACAACAAAAATAAAAATAAACATCTTAATGCAATGTTTTTGCCAAGTGATTAAAAATATGCTAACAAGAAACGAATCGATAAGTTCAATTTTTTGTGTGTGTGTGGAGCCGATGTTAAGATAACTTTCCATTGATACAGTTAGGTACAGCTGAATCCTCTGGAGAAATGCTGTTCTTTAAATTTTACGGGCTGGAGAGCAACTCTCCAGTAGATCCTATCTCTCTCTTTACATATGAATCCAGAGCATTTGTTGGGCACCTATTTTGGGTTGGGATAATGTGTTTAGTACTTAATCTACACGATCTGTGCAATTCCTTTATACAACCCGGCTGAATCTATACTGTTATCCCATTTTATGGATTAGAAAACTGGATGATAATAATCACCAATTTCACTACAGTGAGTGGTGAGCCAGAGTTCCAGGTGGACCTGACTCAACACTCCGGCTCTTTCACAATGAGCCAACATCTCTGTGACTATCAGAGATGAATATGTGTCCACTTTACAGAGTCTATCACAAACTTACCTGTCATAATACATTTTGTCTCAGGGCCAAACATTTTAATGATATCATTTCATACATTATATATGAGCACTTTATAGAAGTCCATATATGCACAAAAGCTAAATCCTCATTAAGATATTTGTGCAATGTTATCTGTTTCTTTTAGTATGAGCATTTGTTTTGTAAAGTCTCTCCTGAGATTTCTACATCAAATCCCCATCTAATTCCTCTTTTCTAAAACATTATTACATTGTTCAATGTAACTATTTCTTGCCTTCCTCTATTAATTTTGGAAATATTGTATTCTTCTGATACTCTTACCTGTGATAACAAGGTTGTTCCAATTTCTGCCAAAAGAGTTTCTATAATTCCACAATGATTCAGTCCATATCAAAAACTCTAATTCAGTTTCTGAGTTCTTCTAAATTTGGTATCTGGGATTCTCAAGACTAGAAGGTTTCAGTCCTGGTTAGTTTGTTTCATAATGTTCTTGTTGTTTGCCAAATCAAATAACTTAAAGCTTTTGGTGTTTTATTTTTTATTTATTTATTTATTTTTGAGACGGAGTCTCACTCTGTCGCCCAGGCTGGAGTGCAGTGGCGGCGATCTCGGCTCACTGCAAGCTCCGCTCCCGGCCCACACCATTCTCCTGCCTCAGCCTCCCGAGTAGCTGGACTACAGGCGCCCACCACCTCGCCCGGCTAATTTTTTGTATTTTTAGTAGAGACGGGTTTCACCGTGTTAGCCAGGATGGTCTTGATCTCCTGATCTTGTGATCCGCCCGCCTTGGCCTCCCAAAGTGCTGGGATTACAGGCGTGAGCCACTGTGCCTGGTCTGGTGTTTCATTTTATCTAAAAACAGTGACAAAGAGTGGAAATCAGTTCAACATCGCTACTGTGCACTGAAGTGAGACCAAAATGAGACAAGATATAAAAAAGCAATTTGATTAAAATGTTATAGGTCCTGAGTGCAGTGGCTCAGCCTATAATCCCAGCACTTTGGGAGGCTGAGGTGGGAGGATTGTTTGAGCTCAGAACTTCGAGGCCAGCCTGGGCAACATAGTACCCAGTGAGACTTCCATCTTACTTGTGCTAAAAATAAAAAAGCATTAGCTGAGCATGATGTATGCCTGTAGGCCCAGCTACTCAAGAGGCTGAGGCAGGAGGGTCACTTGAGCCTAGGAGTTTGAGGCTGCAGTGAGCCTTGATCACACCACTGCACACCCACCTGGGCAATAGGGGAAGACCGTGTCTCAAAAAAAAGTGCTATGGAAATATAAGAGGTTATGATGATGATGTCATCATCATTGTTATGATTAGCAATCTGTTTGCTACGATTGTGTGCCTTGACATGACATTTTAACGCTTTATAGACCAAGTACTGCCTTTACTAAAAAAAAAAATTCAGCGGTTTAGAGTGTGGCGGTTAAATCCG